GTCGTCGGGCGTGTCCGGATCGTCGGAGTCGGCGTCGTCGGCGGCGTTGTCGGCGGGACCTCCGGCACGGCGTTGGCGGTCGATGCCAGGTGCTGCCGCTCCTCGACCTCGCCACGACCCTCTTTCGCCACGTCGTCGTCGTCGCCTTCGTTGTCCTGGCCGTCGTCGTCGTTGCTGCCGGCCGCTGCGTCTGCCGGTCCCCCTTCGGCTTGAGCCCGGGTCGCTGCCGTCGCCGCCGCTGTCGCCGCTGCTCGTGCGCCCTCGGTCCAGCCGTCGAACCAGAAGGTCTTCTTTTTCATCCACTTGTCGCTGAAGCGCACCCACTTCCAGAGCTTGAGCCTCATGGCGTGGACCTCGAGGACCTGGTTGACGAGGATCTCCTTGCTCGCCACGTGCAGCTCGCCCTCGGTCTCGCTGAGGCGCGTGGTAAAGACCTGGCAGGCGGCCAGCAGCTTGAGCACCGTGTCGCCGTAGAACTCGAGCCGCTCGTAGTCGAAGCCGGCGTTGCGCGCGGGCGGCGTCAGCGCCGTCAGGACCAGGTCGCCCGGCAGACGGTCCGACAGGAGGGCGCGGCTGCACCCCTGCGAGAGGAGCAGGTCGTCGTAGCGGTAGAAGACCGAGGGGAGCAGCAGGCCGCTGCGCGCCACCGAGAGCGGCAGCGGGTGGACGTGGGCGTAGAATGGGATGAGCATCCGCGGCAGCGTCCGCCTCTGCCTCTTGCTCGCGACGGCCGACGGTATGCCGACCATGGCGGCGGCGGCCGCCGTCCCGGGTTTGGTCGAGGTGGGCCGGGGCACGAGCTGGTTGCGCCACTTGTCCAGCTTCCTGACCGACAGCAGCGGCTGATCCGCGGGCGGACGAGCCACGTCGGCGCCGCTGTACCTCGCCTTGGATTTGCAGTAGTGGTCAAAGTAGCTGGTGCTGTCCCACTCGGACTCCTTTGAGCCCGGCGGCGGGCGCGAAAAGGGCGTGAGGTCGCGCCGCACCCCGACGGCGTAGAACGAGCCGGGCGCGACGAGGTCGGCGCGGTCGATGATCATGGCGTCGAAGATGTCGTCGAGCGGCACGTCGCCGGCGTTGCGGAGCGCGCCCGAGGCGACGGCCTCGACGGCCGACCAGTCGACCAACGGCGTCGATCCGGTGCCCGAGGTTTCGGCTTCGGCGGGCAGGACGAGGAAGGGGGCCTGCAAGTCGTGGATCTGCTGCCTGTGCGTGATCCAGCCCAGGAGCGTCTCGGTGAAGCGCTGGGCCGCGTCGAAGCGCTCGGCGCTCAGCACGACGGGCTGCGCCGGTCCCACTTCGCCGAGGCTGGAGAGTCCCCGATCGCCGTACAGCTGCAGCAGCGCCGTGGGCGGCAGAGGCTGTGCCGTGACGAGGAACAAGGAGCGGTGCCGGATCTTGCCACCGTCGTCTTCGTCTTCGTCTTCGTCGTCGTCGTCGCCGTCGCGGCTGAGGCGTTCCAGCGGCACCAACGTCGCAAACGCCCGCAGGGACCCATCCGAGCCCAACGCTTGGCCGAGGCCAGGCAGCGTGTTCCAACCCTGGAACTCGTCGCGGACCCGGAAGTGCAGGAGCCGGGTGGGACTGCGCAACGGTGCGGGGGCCGCGTAGATGGCTCCGTTGCTGTCGCTGGCGGCCGGATCCCAGCGTAGACGGTACGGCATGCGCGGCATGAGGTGCTCGTCGAGCAGGTCCAGCTCCCTCAGCCTCCTGCAGGCCTCGAGCGCAGCCATGCGCTTTGCGGCGCGCTTGGTGGTCCACGGCTCGGTGACGACCTCGCGGAGCTGCGAATTGGCCGGCAGCTTGAGGTGGCAGACAAACGTCCGCGGCCACACCGTGTCGTCGATGCGGATCTCGAACTCGGGCCGCGCAAACGAGTCCTTGCCCTGCTCGACGCGCAGGTAGCCGGCGTAGTGCGAAACAATGTTGGGCGCGTCCTGCGGGTAAAGTCTGGCGCCGGTGAGGGGCTCGGCGAGGAAGTATTCGTATCCGAGCTCGTCCTCCTCGACCTCGGGCCGGGCCGTCGCGCCGGTCTTCTCGGCCAGCTTGGCCAGCCAGTCGCGCCGTCCCATCTCGGTGAGGGTGGCCGAGGCGATGACGCGGTAGTGGGCGAGGTTGTTGCGCTCGGCCATGACGACGAAGCGACTGTCCTGGGACCGCGCTCGCCCCCGCGACTGGAGGAAGCCGCTGTGGCGATCGAAGAGGTCGAAGCGGACCACGACATTGGCAGCCTGGATGTCGAGCCCCTCCTCGGCCACCGACGTGGCGATCAGAAGGTTGGTCGGTGCCCGGCGGCGGAAGCGGTCGAGCACCTCGACCTGGTCGTGCCAGTCCATGGCGAGGCCGGCGGCCGTGTCGTGACCGATGAGCCACTCGGGCTTGAGGTAGTCGAGCTCCGGGACGCGGCGGAGCAGCTCTGCGAGCGCGGCGGCCGTCTGGCGGCGCTGGACAAAGATGATGCCGCAGAAGGCGGCGCGGGAAGAGGGGCTGCAGCCAAAGCACTTGAGGATCTCGATGAGGCGGAGGACCTTGGGGCTGCAGTTGTGCGGGCCCACGTCAAAGGTGGAAGGTGGCGGCGGCTGCTCGCCGAGGACGGCCATCATGGCGCGGTTGAGCTCGGCGTCGGCGGACAGCTGCGATGACGAGATCTTCTGCCCGAAGATGTCCTGCGGCGCCGCCGTCGACGTCCACGCGTCGTCGAGGAGCGTGCGCCTGGCGCTGTGCTTGCGCGCGTTTTCCTGCCAGCGCTGTGCGCGCGTGAAATACTCCTGTGTCGAGCCGTGCCAGACGAGGTCCGTCATGAGCTGCCCGTGCTGGATCAGGCTGTACTCGATCTTGGGCCACACCGTCTTGGCAAAGTCGTCGGAGACGTCGGCGCAGCGCTCGTGCATCAGCCTGGACAGCGCGGTCGGCTCGATGCCGGCGGGATCGACGGCGTCGTACTCGGCGACGAGCTCGACGGGCCGATTGACGACATTCTGGAGGTCGACCTGGCTCTTGTCGGGCGCGGTGACGATCTCGGCGTCGAGCGTCTGCTCGAGCAGCTTGCTGGCCTCGCCGTAGTCGCCCAGCGAGAAGACCGGGCTGGCCGTCATGCCGAGGATCTTGGGCCGCTGGCCCTCTGCGGCCAGGCGATAGTAGAGCATGATGCGGGCGTAGGGGTGGCTCTTGATGGCATGATGGGCCTCGTCGAAGACGAGCAGGTCGATGTCGTCGATGCGGACGTAGGCGTGCACCAAGGCTCCGAGGAGGCATTGGGCGGTGGCGACCACGACATCGTGGGCGTCGAGCAGCGCGTCCCACTCGGGCTTGCGCCAGGTGTCGAGGCGCAGCTTGCTGTCGAGGATCTCGTCCTTGAGCTCGCCGTAGACCTTGCCAACGCGGAGGTCGGAGAAGCTGGCGATGACGTTGGCCTGCTGGTGGACCAGGGGCACGAGGTTGACGAGGAAGAAGCTGACCCTGCCCTGCCTCGATGCGGTCTTGCCGGCGCTCGAATGCGGGATGTTGGCGGCGCTGAGGTGCAGTCGGTGACCGCTTCGAAGGTCGTCGCCCTGCTGGTCGGCCATGCCAGGGCTCGGGTCGGTGCCGCGGGTGGAGACGGGCTCGAGTCGCCTCATGTGTTGTAGAAGCAGGACAGACACGAGCGTCTTGCCGCTGCCGGTGGGGAGGCATACGATGAGGTTCCTGGTCTTTGCCTGTTCGAAGAGCTTGCTCTGTGTCGTGGGGTGACGGCGACGGCAACGGGGCATGCATAGAGGGTCAGCGTTGTGCGATCAAGTGCCGTCGAAATCCAGGTGCGCATGGGCTGGCAGCTGCCTCGCCACCCACCTGATACGATCGCACCTCTACGTCGTCGATGGACTTGTGGTGCTTGGTCGCTGGCGGGGGTACGGCAGTGCGTGCCACGACCCTTGCGGCGAGCTTTTTGAGGCGCTTGAGCCGCTGCTGCCGCAGGGCGTCTTGATCGTCTTCTTGTGCATCGATGGGGAGCGCGTCGAGGGCCTGCCTGGCTGCTTGCCAGGGTCGCTTGAGCATGTCGGGCGTGCCCTGGTGCTGTTCGTGGACGTCGTTGGGACCGTCAAGGGCGTGCTGGGCGCGGTCCTCTTTGGGGCTTCTAGGAGGTATGCTGCCGGGCGAAAGGGACCCGACCTTGGCCAAGGAATTGGACCGAGGACGAGGGTCGATAAGAGACGGGCAAGACGCTGGTGATGTCGGCATCGATGGGCGAGGGGCCGGGTGGAAGGTGTGAGGCGACGAGACGGGGAGGCGTGGGTCTATGTATGCTGGTGCGGGCCGTCTAGCTGGGCATTGAGCGGGTGTACGAGTGGGGATCTGGTATCTACGAGGGTCAGGATGGGTCTTGCAAGGTTGGCATCAAGCTCTAGGAGGTGAGCGAGGCGAGGGGCTCTACATATATGGGTGAGGGAGGCCGTCTAAGGGGGTTGGTCCAAGTGGCTGCTGGGACGCAATAAGGTTAGGGGCACGGGCGGTGGCGGTGGCGGTGGTGGGCGGTAGGAAGGGGAAGCGGGGGTGGCCCCAGTGATGGTGGTGGTGACGAGGGGGGCGGAACTCTCGCCATGGCGGGCCGGGGCGGAGGGCAGAGGTGATGATGGAGGTGAGAGCGGCGACGGTCCGAGGCGCGGTTGATGAAGGGTGAGTCAAAGTGTAGGGTAGGGTAGGGTAGGGTAGGGTAGGGTAGGGTAGGGTAGGGTAGGGTAGGGTAGGGTAGGGTAGGGTAGGGTAGGGTAGGGTAGGATAGGGCCGGGTGAGGCTGGGCAGGCATGGCCAGGCCTGGCTAGGCAGAGGATGGATGCTTGCAGCAGGCTCGCCGTTGGTTGGTGCGTGCGTGTTGGACTGACCAGACCCTGCCCGGAGCTGCCTGGGCCTGAGCCTGCGCCTGCGCCTGCGCCCCGAGCTGCCTGGCTGCGCTTGTCTTTTTTGCCTTGGTCTGCCTGCGCTCGTCTGGGCTGGCCGGGCGGGCCTTTGTCTGGTCCGAGCGAGCCCTGTTCTGGTGGCCGACGCGAACGCGTTTCTTGTCTGGGCGGAGCGCGTAAAGTGCCAAAGGGTCGAGGCCGGCAGAGGCAAGTCATTGAGTCGTCCGACGCCACCGGCTTCCATCCAGTGGTCGGGTCCTCGAGTCCTTCTCTTTGCTCTCCAACCCCAGATCCCCCGCATCGTCATCCAGCCGTCGTCCGGTCGCCCTCATACCCTACTGCAGAGCAGGGGAGCATCGCCATGTCGTCGCCGCTCGCCTCGAGCTCCCGCCACAACCTCGACCTGCCGCACCCACCTCGCCACGCCAAGGACCCGCTCCGCCTCCTCCTCGCCGCCGCCGCCGACGAGACCGACTCGGACGACGACATCGACGTCGAAAACCACCAACCTATCCCCCTACTCTCCTATCCTCATCACCACGACGACGATCAGGATGACCACGATGACGACGACAGCGACCTCGAATCCGACACCGAAGTCATGCGTCGTGCCAAGCGCGCACGCCACTCGGCCAGCCACGCCCGCATCTTTACCAGCCCCACAAAGAGGCTGGCACACAGGACCACCGCCGCTTCGCCACGCCGAGCCGCCGCCGCCGCCCCCTTCAACGCCACTCCGACAAAGGCGCGGAGACCCATCCTGATCAAGGGCAACGTCACCCCCTCCAAGGCGTTCTCCATCTTCAAAAACGCCAAAGCCAACCGCGCCACCAGGACGACTACGGACGCAAAGGAGCTCCGGCGTCGTCCCCCACCCGGCGGCCTCTTGACGCCCCCTCCCTCTTCCCCCGCTCTCCCTTCCTCGTCGGCCACCTCCGCCGCATCGACATCCACCGCACCGCTCCGGCTCTCGCAGACGACGCCGCGCTCCTCTGCCCGCTCGGCCTGCACCAGCATCGGCGTCGATGGCTTCTTCTCCCCCGCCAACCACCATCACCTGCCCCCCGCCGCCCTCCTCTCGTCCCATGCAGCAGCGCCGACCCCTCTGGCGATACGCCACCTCTTGGCCTCGGCCCACCCGGCCTCAACTTTCACCCCGGCCTCGGCCTCGGTCCAGGACGCCTTCTGGTCCCTCAAGACGCGACGATCCGCCGGCAGCTGGGGAGCCTCGTCGCTCACCTCGCTCGGCCGCCAGCCTCGCCTCAACGCCAACTCGTTCCTCTCCACCTACCTCTCGCCCCCCACCAGCGTCATGCGCCTGCCCCTCACCGCCGACGCCGCCGTTGCCCACCCGCTCTGCTCGAGCTACAGCTTCTCGTCGCGCTCCGTCAACCCGCGTGCCCAGTGGCTCGCAGTCGGCGACGACCAGGGCCGGCTCTCGCTGCTCAACACCTTGCCCCCGCACGACGACGGCGCGCAGGAGTACACCGACACGCCCAGCTGGCTCGCCGTCGACGCCGAGCAGCAGGACTCGATCTTTGAGCTGGCCTGGCGTTTCGACGACCGCGTCATCCTCAGCGGCGCCAGCGACTACGTCATCCGCAGCTGGGACGTCGAATACCAGGTCCAGCTCGACCGCTTCGAGGCCCATCGCGGCAGCCCGAGGAGCATCGTC